CTTTGTTGGCTCCTGGAATCTCCTGCTACTTCCCTGTGTGCCGATAGCAATGCTTCTGGGCAGGGCTCCCTGTGCCCCGAAAGTGATGTTTCTGGGCAGGGCTCCCCAGCCATATGTGGCTGCAGTCCTTTCTTGTGCCCCCAAATCGATGTTTCTGGACAGGGTTCCCCAGCCAGAGGCAGCTGGAGTCCTTCCTCCCCAGTCTCACTTTGAGTGGCTGCAGAAGAGATGTCTCTTGTCTGTCATCTTGCTCACCTTCATTTATATCATACTTTGTCTAATTTATAAATTAAATGTATATATAGCATAGATATGTATGTATAAGGAAAAAATTGTATAGATAGGGTTTAATAGTATCAGCAGTTACAGAAATTCACTGGGGTTCTTAAAATGTATCCCCCACAGATAAGGAGGGAACACTTATACTTAGTTTGCTGCAACACAATACAGCTTCTCCAGCTCTTCAGCTGAAACTGTTGATAAAAACAAGAAAAGTAAAACAAGGAAAGATAGGAATATGGATACTGTACTATGATTGCATGGTAAGTCACAGAAAACAGGACAAAAACAAAGATCCTTGAAAAGACTTTCTGACTGCCAGCAGAGAAGACCTCAAGTGAGATCAGTGTACTTACTTTTGCTAATCCTCTTCTAAGGAAGATGTTAGTAATTGTACTTAGTTCTAGTAATTTTCTCTGCCCTATGTATGATGTGAACAACATCAAAGTGACCTGTGACTTTACCTCACATAGAATCACTGGAATGTTCACTCCCTTAAGAGCTTATCCCTACCTCATATTCAGAGAAGCTTAAGGAGAAACACTGCAGAGGTGAAGACAACAGAACTTTTTGTTTCGAAAAGGCTACCACTAAAGAGCTTTAAAACATTCAACCCAACTTCCTTTTTAGTAATCTTACTTGTCAAATTGATACTCTCTTTGAAATTCCCACTTTTATTTACTTATTAATTTATTTTGCAAAATCATTTCCATTTTTGGCTGAAGAGGCTGAGGCAAGAGAATTGCTTAAGCCCAAGAGTTTGAGGATGCTGTGAGCTGCGATGCCACAGCACTCTACCAGAGGGTGACATAGTGAGACTCTATCTCAAAAAAATATATATATATCATTTCCTCTGATTCCTCTCCCAGTTTTCTCCAGCCCTCACTCATTCTCCTTTACGACCTTCTTTTCCTCTAGGAAATGTGGATTTTTCCAAGTTTGTCTCACTCCCCTTCTTTTTCTACATCTTCCTCATCGTAGACAAGCCCATTCAGATGTATAACTTTGCCTATTACAACATTATTCTAAGGTTGCATCTTTAACCTCAGTGTTCTATCTCCACCTAAAAATGCTTATCAGCCAATTGCCTACTGAAAATGTCTACGTGAATATTCCATTAAACTCAACATATATAGAAAAAAAGGATGTCGTGCCTGTTGATCTGCTGCTCTTCTCTATTCCTGACAGTATTTTACTCCTTCCTATGTCCACTTTAAGTGTTAGTGCATGACCTGCAAACCTATGGATGAACTGAAATTCTCTCTGCCCCTAACTTTTTACATTCAATAATCACTAAATCATATTAAGTATACCTCTTTTCTGCCTCTGCTTTATATTTCCACTACCACTGGAAATATAAAATAAATGTTTGTTTATATTTATTTTATGTTTTTGTTTCCTAGTTTACATTTATTTTATGTTTAAATTTCCTCAACATGAGCTCTGATGGTTTTCTGGAAGGGGGGAACCCAGCAACTATTATTGTTATTTCTTAAATTAAAAAAAAAGAAAAGCAAAAACCAGTGAACATGTATAATGCCAAGAAAAAGACCAACATTTTCAAATGAATAAATAGAGGCTCCTAACTTTATTTCACCATGAATGGGTGAAAACTTCTTAACAGACTGATGCTAGTCTCAGGATTATTTATATATGACAAGGAAATTATGGTTTTGACATCTGCAAAACTTTGTCTCTTGGTCTTTGTACATGGTTCCTTTCCATCTATCCCCTGTACGAGGGGTCAGCAAATAACAGGCCACAGGCCAAATCCAGCCTATCATATGGTTTGATGAACAAAGTTTTACTGGAGTGCAATAATGCCTATTAACTTACATCTGATCTATAGCTGCTTTCACATTACACTGGCAGGCTTGAGTAGATATGACAGAGACCACATGGTCTAAAATGTTTGAAGTCTGATCCTTTACAGAAAAAGCTTGCCAGTCTCCCTAACCAGAATGCCCTAAACCTCAAACCCAATCTTGTGGCTCCTCTACCTAAAATTCTCGATGAATCCCTGCAGTAAACAATGCTGGCTTCCTCCCCAGTAGCCATTCCTTCTTCTTTCTTGCTGTAGAAACATAATTCTAGTTGGATATTTATCATCTGAATACCCCTTCACAGCTCCAAAAAAGTGATTCTTTGAAGCTAATCAGAATAATCATCTCTGCTTTCCCATGGCTAGCTTAGAAATGAGCATGTAGTATAACCCAGTCAATAAAATGTTGCTTGAGGTCTACTCCAAGCTTCTGAATTTTCTCCCTCTTTATAAGAAACACATGAAGAAAAACCCTTGCAGCCTTTAGATAAGGTCGTGTGAGAACATGATATTTGGACCTGCTGCAATTGAGTCAACCATGAAAAGACATGAACAAAACACGGCCAGTGGCACAGAGGGAAGACAAACAAGCTGAATCAAATGCTATCAATGAACCCCTCTCCCCCAAATAACTCTGGTTCCTATTGTTTCAGCCACTGTTCTTCATGTGATCTATCTTTGACAGCCAAAAGCATTCTACCTGAGAAAGTTCCTGTGGCTTATGGGACAAGAGCTACCCATTTCTGGAGTATTAAGAAATCTTCTGTAAGCTTGCCTTACCTAGGTATTCACCTCATTCCCAATCACTCCCATATCACACTTTTTGAGCTAGTAGACTCCAACTGCTCACAAACCCTACAAAGTTTACTCACATCTCTTAGCTTAGCTTTTCCACCTGCTGTTTTTCTGCCGAACAGGAAATCTTGTTAGATGTTCCTTCTTCCTTTTTACCTGGCAAATTTCCACTCACTGTGCATGCTTACCTGAAATCCTACCAACTTTTGTAAAGCTTTAATTCCTCACCATGAACTCAGACTGCTTGGCACATACTGAACACACTAAATACGCAATAGATGATAACTATAAGCTCCCATAGGGCATCTGGCACACAGTAACACTGAATAAAGTAGTAAATAATAAAAATGACAATTATAATAACAAGCTCCTGCTGTATCTTTTTAAATGTGTGTATTCTGTAATGTTAAAAAAAATGCTTATTATCTAAAAAACACTTGATAGTTGTTAAGTAAACAAATGAATAAATAAACAAAAATATCCTCTTTGAAAATTCTGTTGAAAAAACACAGAAATTACATAGGGACAGCTCTATTCTATTACAAACACCTTAAAGACCAAAACTAAATCTCTTGCCATTTGCAAAACAAAGGTGTCCTCAAACAGTTCAGACTGTACAATGCATGAAGGTGTCACATCTAGTTAACACAGCAATTGTTATGGCAAAACATTTTTTGTTCTTTGGTTACCATTTGTTTACCTAGAGTTGGGCTACTGGAATATTTATTGTGTTAACCTTTTGGCTAATGGTGACAGATTATCTTGTTCTAACAAAGTTATTGTCATCATGATAATAATGCAGCAGATAGAACACATCCTGTTATAACAAAATAAATATGTCTTGTTCAGTTTCAACTTGTAGGGAATAAAGTTGACAAAAGCAAGCCCTCATTGGCCTGCAAATATGTAACGTAACCTGCGCTTGTCAACAAGGAATTACATTTCTGACTTCTATAATCAAGAGGTACCTTTTAAAAAGAATCTCCTGTTGGCATTGGTGCACACTGGCTAAGTTTTACATTTCTTATGGTCATTTGTTTATAGCACCAGAAAAGTATTTTTGAGTTCTCAGTTTTAAAGATAGTTATACCTTTCATGACCTTTAAAGATAGTAGTATCACCTTTAAAGATAGCTACACCTTTCTATGTAATATAGCTGACTTTTGAACAATACTGCAGGGGCCCACTGATCTACAGATTTTCCCCTGCTTCTGCCACCTACAGAAAGCAGAAACAACCTCTCCTTTTCCTCCTCAGCCTGCTAAATGTGAAAATGATGAGGATGAAGACCCTTCCACTTAATGAATAGTAAATATAACCTTCTTCCTCCTGGCTTTCTTAATAACAGTTTCTTTCACTTATTGTAAAAATACAGTGGCTGCTTTTGCAATACAATGGCAGGCTTGAGTAGATATGACAGGGACCATAAATATGTAATACACATAACATACATAATATGTGTTAATCAACTGCTTGTATTATTGGTAAGGCTTCTTCTGGTCAATTAGTAGTCAAGTTTGGGAGGAATCAAAAGTTATATGCAGATTTTTTACTGGCATGCCTAATTCCTAGGTTGGTCAAGGGTCAACTCCAATTCATTTGCCAAATGCAAACCATTTATTATAAAAATTAAATAGAAGATCCATTTTTATAACAAATTCAATTTGTTAAAATGTGACCATAGAAGAAACATACAAAATGGTATCTTAAATTTTTTCCTTATTTATGCAAAAATATCATAGAGGATTTAAGAACCATAATTATTAATTAATGAATTAATTTTTTGAGACAACTGTTTGAGATTATAAACTACTTACAAAAAACTTCCTAAATAATTCTGAGTTCCAAACTCTTTAATTTAAAGAAAAATATTCTAGTAAAAAATAAGTAATTTACATGCTTTTTTCTTTACAGTTTTTGGCCAGGGCTGGGTTTGAACCTACCACCTCCAGCACATGGGGTCAGCACCCTACTCCTTTGAGCCACAGGTGCTACCCCATGTTGTTTTTTTTTTTAACTGCTCTTTTGTGATCAAAAATTCCTTGATCTTATTTTGTAATCTAGGGTAAAATCACCAAGACTTATTCATTATCAGAATTCTTACCTGAGTTGCTACTTTGAGAAGAATTTTTGCAGGTCTTATTGCCATTTAGTATCTTTCCTTTTTCATATTCTGAAATTTGTTTGTAAATGCTATGTATACAAAATGTTAATAAAATCACTATTTGAATACTGATATGAAAAACATCTACCAAATGCATTAAACTCTTACAATATTTCAGACACTATCAGAGCTAATATCAGAATTTTAATTATCCCATACACTTCAAATGTGTAAACTCTACAAATTTATTAAGTTTCTAATTAAAAAAGAAAAAAAAGTAAGTTGAAATAGTAATGAATTGAAGGCAGTACAGCTCAGTAAATTAACTAGAGTTGGCTTGACATGATGCAAGGTGTCCTAGTTTTGTAAGCAACGACTACTGGTTCTTGGACAATTTTCTTTTCTTAGGCTCAGTGTTTTCTGAGAATTTTACTGCCTTATTTCACTAAGTTGTTTTGAACATTTAACAAGATTACATTTTAAAGTGTCCAGAGAAATAGTGAAGCAATGGAGTAAGTTTTTAAAAATATTTTTGCTAAAATAATTTTAGCAAAAATTATTTGCTAAAACTGTTTTAGAATTTCAAATAAAACTCTATGTGTATTTATTCATAAATTCTAATAGACAAATGCTGCAGTTTCTAGAAAATATTAAATCCTAATTTGGAGCATTAGCTGTGCTATGTGGCTTATAATTCAGTGTATCTCAGCTATTCATAATGTGTAACAAAATTTATTTAGGAATATATTATCTTATCAGCTAATATAATTTTTTGTTGTTGAGACAGAGGACTTGTTATGTTACCCAGGGTGGAATGTAGTGATATGATCATAGCACACTGTAGCCTCTAACTCCTGGGTGCAAGCAATCCTCCCTCCTCAACCTTGGGAGTAGCTGAGATTATAGGCATGAGGCATGGCACCCAATGAATTAGATAGCATCACTATTTCCTACTAGTGAGCTAATCAATCACATCAGGATAAAAACAAATAATTGTCACGCCCAAGTTGGACTACTACTATTCCTTCTCTACCTAACCAAACTCTGAACCACCAGATCTTTGTTAAAATGATGCTTAAACTCCATGTTCATCCCTGACTCACATGGAAGACAAAACCTTACTTTTCTTTTTCTCAAGTTCCATAAAGGAGATGCAAATTGGCATTTTCTCATTTCCAAGATACATTACTATCAACATATTTACCCACAACATCTCACAATTCACTCAGCTTCACTCTCATTTCATAGGTCACTGTACATAGTAGATATTTTTGTAGTGAAAATCATAATTTCAGTATTGAATGTTAACTATTTTACTTTGACGCACACTGTTTCCTTGAGTCTAGTAGCAGGTAGTCAAATGACTTTCCACAAAATATGAGATGCATCATAAACAGAAGTGGCATCCCTGGGCAGGGACCATGCTAATCTTCTCTGCATTGTCCCAATTTGGGTATATGTACTATCCATGCAAGCACAAAGCCCTACCTTTATACAGGGATACTGACAAAGCATAGATGAGGCTCAGTTCAAGTTCACTCTAAATAACCTGCTTTAGAATCAGAGAGCTGTGTTAAATGCCTTCCTTGTGAGGTACAATTTGAAAATATTTTTAAAACCTGAGGTAGAGATGCAAGCAGCTTCAGAGATTTTTGTGAATATGGAAAGCAAATCACTTGAGCAGCCAACCACAAGTTGGCGCTCACTGCTCTGGGAAGAGGGATGTGGGACATTCTGCTACCTAAGAAAAGGAGCTACACAGGATAGAAAGGGGCCTTGAGATATAGATCTGGCAGCAAAGAAGAAAGGAAACTCTGATCTCTTCCTGAAACATTATTTGAACCTCTCTGACAGTTAGAACAATCCCATATACTATCTGCTAGTGAAAAGCCAAACAAGGACATCAAAGGAGAAATTACCATGAAGGTGTCTTAATGTGGGCTAAGATGTGGGCTCCAAATAAGGTTTTGAGTGTGGGGAGAAGGGTCAATTTCCTCACTATGTGCATGGCTAAACCTAGGAGGCCCAACTGCCACAGCAGGGTGCTGATGCGTGGCTGAGCATATAAGAATATGTATGTAAACTAGAAAAAGTTGTAACCTTAAGTCTAATTATGGATCACCATGAAGACTCAAGGATCTGAATTAGTCAGGGCATCCTGGTAGCAAACATCAATCATATCAGACTGCAGGACCAGGTTCAATGGCAACAATGTAGCAACAGAATCAACAGAAACAATGGAATGCTTAGAACATCTTTATGCTCTCTCTTTCTGTCTTGCAAAAGCAGATTATCCCCCCTGGACTTAGAACACCTTCACCCCTTAGGTCCTTGAAAACTTCGAGGAGGAGGATAGCTATCAGGGGAGAGTACAAAGCTTTTCTGCTAACCTGGACATTTCAAACCCAACTAACTAATTTGAAAAATCAAAATACGACATTATTTTTATCCTATGCAGAGGGCTTATACTTGGAGTGAGATGGGGAATGGTGGGATCCTGTACCCTTGCTACTTATAACCAGTTTAGCCTTTTGCTTAATTTCTGGTTGATGAAGTATATTAACTCATTGCCATTCCAAAGCTACCTGAACCTAGCTATGAAATCTCACCTGATGTCTAAGATACAATAATTATAATTACTTTAAACTTCAACATGATATTAACTTGTTTCTTAATGTAAACACTTACGCTTGCAAACCACTGCGAATAGCATAATCTCTAGCAGTCCTTCCAACCATATCTTGAGGAGAGGTATCGACATGTTGCTGAAGAAGAAAACTAGCTATATCTGGCAAATTCTCACGTAAGGCAATCATCAAAGCTGTTCTAAAATAACAGACAAATGACTTTACCCTGAGGAACTTTAGTAAAGTTACTTCAACACTGCATTTCATATACTTTACCAATGTCATGTCTTGCTGGTCAGTGCAGATTTAACCACTTACATATATTAATAGACATAGGGTATTCAAGTGTTCATCTAAACTACTACCAAGGCTAAAAGGAAGAGACGATTCTTGTCCCAGTAGGGCAGTGGTTCTTGACCTGTGGGTCGTGACCCCTTTGTAACAATGAAAATACATCCTGCATATCAGATATTTACATTATGATTCATAACAGCAGCAAAATTACAGTTATGAAGTAGTAACGAAAATAATTTTATGGTTGGGGGTCACCACAACATGAGGAAACTGTATTAAAGGGTCGCAGCAATAGGAGGCATTAGGAAGGCTAAGAACCACTGCACTAGGTTATTACACAGTAGAAGGTGCTAACTTAAAGTCCTCTGACGGGCAAGAAACTATACTGATGTCAATTAACTATGGTAGGCAAAGATTTCAGTGAAGATTTATTCATTAGTTCCCTAGTCAGATATAATAGTTTGTAATTCCTTCTGTTAGGGCTCAGGTAAGAAGGAACTACCTGAAGGCTTAAAACAGTAGTAGTAATAATAATAATACCCTTAGTAATTTCAGTAGATGCTGCATACAATCATGTGCTAGGCACCAAATTAAATGCTTTTAATCTTACAAACACACAACCACCCTTGAAGAAAATATTGTTATCCACCTTTTCATATCAGAAAACATATTTGGTGATAAAGAGTCTCAAGGTCACACACCTAGCAAGTGAGAAAGCTAGAAATTAAACCTATTATTGTGGGACTCTAAAGCCTCTTTTCTCTTTATCAACCACCCATGGCTTATCTCCTTTAAAGGAAAAGTTTTTCCAATTTAGGATATCTTTCTTCCCTGCATCCATACTAATTTTTTAAAAATCAAAATACACTAGAAGTGAAAAAGGAAAAAAAACTGGTGAACCCACAGTACCTGGTAATAGCAATTAAGAGTGACTTAGGGATTACTAAACACTAATATTCTTCAAAGAAAGCAACTTAAAGCAAAGACTCATCTAAAGGACAAAATGAATTTAAAGTCCTATTTATGGTTAACACAGTGTTTTTAAAGGGAAAGAATATAAGCAGCAGAGGTTAGAAAAATATAGAAAATGATTAAGAAGTTCAATATTGAGGTATAAAGTAAACTGAAAGTTAAAATCCACATATTATCATATCACAAAATAAAAGGAATACAAAATCCCTTTAGCTAATATAAGTTCATAGGACCACAAACATTAGATTACAAATAACATGCACTGATTAATGTAATAAGAGAAGATAAATTCTAGTATATACTGTTCTTTATGTTGCCCGGGCCAAATAATTGCTTTTCTACATGATGGTTTGTATTGATACTTTGTACAACATCTCAATAATTATAAGTTAATTTTAGTAATTTAATATTTCTGACTTGTGTGATTACTACTATAGAACACTCAGGTTTAAAAAATATAACTACTATACCTTTTCCAATTATCAACTGCACTTATATTTGCATTTCTCTTCATTAAAAACTCCACCATGAGCTGTCTATTATAATTCACAGCAAGTAAAAGTGGTGTGAATCCACCCTGTAAAACAGCAAAAAAAAATTGATAATTCACAAAATTACTTATTTCTTAACTAAACTCAAGACCTCATATAAGATCTTTGAACTTATATCATAGAATGTAAATAAAAAGCAGTCCCTTCCTGTTCACCCCTCTGTGCTTTTCCATGTGCAAACTCCCCTCCTCTGCCTCACCACAACAACTTGCCATGTCCAAAACTCACTTCAAACATTCACCAGTTCCAAGGTTCTTTGCTTCTCTCACACCATTTAGCACCGCATATTGCAATTAGTTTATTCTTTCCCATTTAAACCAAGAGCTTCTCGAGATCAGGGACTGTAACTTTTCTCTATATCCCCCAAACCTAGGACATAGTAGTTAATTCTTTACATATTTTTATTAAATTAATGATCTAAATTATCTCTAGAGCAGTGACTATATTTCAAAGAATATTTACTACAAGGATTGTGCTTCAACAGAAATATTCCATGATCACCTATGTTTAAGAAATATTACAAAACTGCATTCTATGTCCAATATTCAAGAAAACTCTTGGACCTGCCTAATCCTATTAGACAATACTTCTTTGTGGCAAACATTATCATTAAGTGATGAGAGTTTCATAGATATAGTTTCAAGTGCTTGTCAACAACAGCTGAGGTTTCCTGCAGGTGACACAAACTCACATGAGTCCCTTTTATCAATGATGTCGGGAACCCATATGCCAATGTCAGGCACTTAGATGGCTCACTAGGAAAATGAGCTCTGACTTAAAAGAGATGGACTGCAAATGAACTTCAATTGATTATTATGAGATAATCCTTAGGACTTGTCCTATTAAAAGGGGATAAATTTTTAATATTAGAAAGCATATGCAATTTTATTTTCGATGATAATGATAATCCCGTAACCCTACTGCATATACACTTATTTAATCAATTGTTTTAAATGCTACCTAAAATTATCTTTTATTTTAGGCAAAATAGAAATCAGAAGTGTAAGTACAGTAAAGCATCAATGAAACTTCTAACACTGATCTATGTGGGGTATTTCTAGCATGATGAAATCTACTGAGTCACTTGCATTTTTGAGGGACAATGCTGAGACAATACAAAGTTATCTGCAATATGCACAACATACCAAATTATAACCATGATTAGCCTAAACAGGTGCATAGGCATTCTGATAGGAAGGTGTCTGCTTATGGTACATATAAAGAAAAAGCTTAAAATAAAACCCTTCTAAATTCTACAATTCAATCCCATTACTAAGAGATTTGTACACAATATAGTATATAATAATATAATACTACATATTATAAAAACCTGTAAATTATCTTGAAAAACCTTGAAATCTTTATCATAATACACTATAAAACAAGAGCTATAAACTCAAGTACTTACAGCGGCAAAGTACTTGACCCACATAGGTGAAGTACATAGGTGGGCACCATAGAAAACTGGAGAACAGGTGCTTCCTAACGAAGGGCAGCGTCTGCACTCACACCAAACTGTAAGATGGACTCAAGAGACACCAGACTGGATTCTTTAAGAGAAGCCTGAATTCCAGATTGCTGCATGTCTCCTAAATTTCACACACTCGTTGCATTTATGGAGGCAAACTAAATATACCTGTGGCCCACATTTAGAATATGGCTCTTGTGTTTTTATATTTTCTATCAATGTGTTTCTACACAGTTATATATAATGCATGTAAAAATCTTTCCTTTCTTTAGTGTCATATGTTTTTCTAAAAAATCAAGCCTGACATGTAATACAAAGTGCTATTATGACTCATAATAGCAAAATTGACTCAAAATTTCACTTCAAGAAATTTTACATTTATTCATTTACAGTCTGTTTATATTTAATTCTCCCAAATTGCTGAACAAATACGTAATTAGTTCATGGGACTGCTGAAACTAAACCATTAAAAGAATTCTTATCTCTATTCCTAATCATGTCATAAAAATGCCATATTGATTATGCTAACGCTCTATGAACATAACAGACATACTGAGACAGTCCATCACACAGCTTCAAGTAAAAAAACAGGTCAGGATTTTTTTTTTTTTTTTTTGAGACAGATTTTCACTATGTTGCCCTCGGTAGAGTGCCGTGGCATCACAGCTCACAATAACCTAAAACTCTTGGGCTTAAGCAATTCTCCTGCCTCAGCCTCCCAAGTAGCCAGGACTATAGGCACCCACCACAACTGCCTGGCTATTTTTTGGTTGCAATTATCATGGTTGTTTAGCAGGCCCAGGCCAGGCTCGAACCTGCCAGCCTTGGTATATGTGGCTGGCACCCTACTCACTGAGCTACCGGCACCAAGCCCAACAGGTCAGGATTTGCTGCTACTCTAATTAAGAAAATCTTGATTATAATAAATATTTACTGATCTAATCAATCAAATCACAGCAGTCACGAGATCCTGAAAGTCTACCCTTACTTATTGAAAAACCACCTATAAAGAAATTTCTAAAGGCCCTCTGAATGGCAGTAAATGACTGATGGTTGAAAAGAATAAGGTGTTATTTTCTGTAAGCTGATCAAGACTGCCAATATTATTCCTTGTAACTTTGCAACCACAGAGGTAGAGAAAGATAAATCTCAGGGTAATATTATTAGAAAGGAGCGATTTGAAGGAAGTGGTCCCTATCAAACCCCCACTGCTCTAGAGATTTCTGATGTTTTTGAGGCATGTTCTTTGTATATGCCACTTATTTATGCAGGAATCCTTAAGCAGGAATTTATCCAAATCTCAAGAAAATACTTTCTCCTCTTTTGTTAGAAACAGGGTTTCACTCTGCTGCCACCATGACCTCCTGGCCACATGTAATCCTCCCACCTCAAGCCTCCGAGTAGCTGGGACTACTTGAGTAGTACATGCCACCATGCCCATTTCTGAGGAAATATTATTAAATATACATTCCATAATTTATTAGATTTACTAAATCAAAATCTTCAGGGGAGGACCTAGACTTGTAGACTTTTCTGAATTCCCCAGATGACTGTGATCCACAGCTCTAGATGAAAACTTATGCAGGAGACATCACTTCAGTCTCATCTGTCATCCACATGGCCAATCCCCTTTATCAACTAGGGATCTGACAAAGAAGAAAGCATGGCAGAGTCATTTACTGAAAACTCCATCTGATTTTCCTGGTTAGGGATCGAACAGGGACTAATAAACTCAAAAAACCACTTGGTTTTGCTATTTATAAACTTTTCTCATCAAGACATTCTAGACTGGAGAACAGTATTCACACTCTCATCTGGAACAGGATAGTAAGTCAGTTAATTCTTTGTTCTTCCCTCTTCTGAAGTATTTCCCACTTCTTCACCACCTGTTCACAGACAATATGGAGTCCTCAGAGTCCTCCTAAAACTGATCTCTAGGCAAATTTATAGCTCATTAACTCTCTTTTCCAAACTGAGAAGTATTATCACCAAAACTGAAGAGCACCTTGCCTGAACATATAAGTTGGAAAAAAGCAACCAACCAACCAACCTAAACAAACAAACAAAAACCTCTTCTAGGTATTTTCCCTCAATTACATAATTTCTAAATTGGCCTGAAGGTTTCTGATGCTCTCCTTTCCCTTTCCATTCATCTCTCTTGAGCCTTGCCACTGAGAAATAAATCTCTTCCATATAAATTAATTTTAAGAAAAGTGTCAACAGTAGCAAGATTTCCACTTCTTATAAAATGCTTTAGATTTGTTGGACTTATAAGATAAAGCCTATTTTGTGGACAAATTTTGCTTTCCTGTGTTGTTTTATACTAATTAGGAAAAAAAACACTTGGGTGGGGAAAAACACTTAGCAAAAAAATTTACCTTTAACAAATTCAGTGCTTTCACAGATATTTGCCATAAATGAATAAAAGAAAGCTGTACCCGCTAATGCCTCTTTAAAAAATTGATATTTTAAGAAAAATCTTAGACAATTAAGTCATTCCAAAGTATTTTCATTCATGGAATGCTTGAGCTTCCAAATATGAACCACTGACCCTTACATATATGTCAATATTAAAACAAATGCATTTCAAATATTTTGGAAATAAAGTTAGTTGATCTGTACCTTGTTTTTTATTTCAATACCTGCATGGTATGAAAGCAGTTTTTCTACTAGCAACATATTCTCCTTATAGACAGCATAATGGAGGGCAGTATTGCCATAGATATCCTGAAGGTTGGGATCAGCACCATATTCCAGTAGAGAAATAGCACATTCCCATTCCTGGCAATGTACAGCCTGTTGGCATTAAATCAGGAAATAAGATTATAAATTCTAGGAATTCAAATAAACATTCCACAGGTTTCACCAACCAATTATATTTAAATGAGATAAAATCATTTTGGTTCTACATGTTTAAATCAAATCTATCTCATGCTGAAATAGTTGGTTACTATATACCTTCATCAGAGGTGTCCTCTTTTCTCTGTCACAGATGTTAAGTTGGCATTGTCTTTCCAGCAGGAGAATCACCACTGCTAAATGGCCTTTGGTACAGGCCAGATGGAGAGCGGTCCTATGAAAGTCAGAGAATTTTTAGAAAACTATAGTGTACTATCCCAAAACAAACAATGATTCATGCAGTTGTAAACATTAAATAGAATGTTATTATTCAAAAGAAATAATTTTCTTGTGAAGAATATACATTATTTATTAGCTCTTACAGCTCACTACATTGAGAGAAGCCTATTTGAATGAAAAGAGCTCGACCTCTAGAAGCAGTTCAATTTTAGCTTAAATCCCTACTTTAAGCTCTGTCATTTATTGGCTATGGCTTACCCCTGCCTCAACTTCTTTACCTATAAAATGGTGATGAAATAGTAGCCAACTCACAGGACACCACCGGGATACTTGAGTGAAACTCTATGCAAAGTATTTACAGCAGTTCCAAGAGCAAATAAAAGCTCAATAATTGTTAGATACTGTAAGAAGTACTGTTACTACTATTTAACAACCATTATTATTACTTAAAAAGAGAACACATTAAATAAAATGTTTAGGGCAATTCCAAGCACAAAAAAAACAGCTCAATAATCATTAGATGTTATAAGAATTACTGTTACTACTACTTAACTATAGTGACTACTACTCAAAAAGAAAATATTTGAAGTAAAATGATATAATTGTAGTACTAGCACTAGGTTTTATTAAAAATTAAGAGATAATATTATATTTCAGTGATTATCAGATGCTCATTTTCTCACATTTTAACATCTGTGACATTAAAATTCCACTTAAAATTCATGATTTCTTATAACTATAACAGGCAGCACTAAAAAATCCTTTTATTGATACCAAAAATAATAGGGAATCACATAATCCCTGGTGCCTTACATCAAGTGAAATGTGGTGAATATAAAAGGTCTTTGGAAGATCTAGATATATGACCAGCATTTAAGTAAGTATTAGTTTTTAGAAGTTGTATGGGGTCAGAGGGCTGAAACAACAAAGACAACAACAAATTTTAAAACAAAGTAATTCTTTCTTTAGTTTTCAAAAAACTTCAAGCCAGCTGGGCGTGGTGGGTCACACCTGTAATCCTAGCACTCTGGGAGGCTGAGCTGGGTGGACTGCCTGAGCTCAGGAGTTTGAGACCAGCTTGAGGAATCGCAAGACCCCCACCTCAAAAAACAAACAAACAAACACACAAAACCCCCCAAAACCAATAAATAAATAAATAAATAAATCTTCAAGCCAAAGCAAACTCAGGATTCAAATAAATAGGTAAGACTTATTTTATTCAATAGTTAGACGTGTAGAATATATGCCCAATCAGATATTTTTCAGTGATTAATATTAGCATTTAAGATGTTATACCTTGGCTCAGCGCCTGTGGCTCAAGTGGCTAAGGTGCCAGCCACATACACTTAAGGTGGTGGGTTCGAATCCATACCAGGGCTGGCAGGTTCAAGCCTGGCCTGGGCCTGCTAAGCAACAATGATGGCTGCAACCAAAAAATAGCCAGGCCTTGTGGCGGGTGCCTGTGGTCCCAGCTACTTGGGAGGTGGAGGCAGGAGACTCACTTGAGCCCAGGAGTTGGAGGTTGCTGTGAGCTGTGATGCCACAGCACTCTACCCAGGGAGACAGCTTGAGTCTCGGTCTCAAAAAAAAAAGATGTTATACCTTTTCAAAGGGGCAATTAAATGTTTTGTTATAATTTTCTACACTCAGAAATGCTTTTGTTTAAAAGGAGGGAGGAGGCAGTGCCTGTGGCTCAAAGGAGTAGGGCACTAGTCCCATATGCTGGAGGTGGAGGGTTCAAACCCAGCCCTGACCAAAAACTGCAAAAAAAATAAATAAATAAATAAAATAAAATAAAATAAAAGGAGGGAGGAAAGACTTCAATTGAGATTAAGTCCTACCACTGTAATTTTAAATATTTCAACTTTCTCAGGCTAGGCAGATAAACAAGAGTATTTTTAAGAATGCAAGGGTCCTGAGAGATAAGCAGGACATGTCTGTTACATAATAGGTATTCAAGTTATATTTAAAGAATAAATGGACTGAAGGAATAAATACAGTTGATAGTTCAATATTTTAAAAGAAAACTCCCAGAAAGTAAAGCAATACTTTTGCAATACTAATAATCATTTATACTTGCTACTTTTTATTTTCATAAGGATACAAACTAAAATGATTTCTCTATAATTGCTTACATATATCCAATAAATCTGTATGTAATAAAAACATGTCTGTAATAAAATGTGTACATAATAAAATTTATATGCACAGATAAAAACGATTCTCTTTACTCATAAAGAGAATAGAAGTTCACAGACCATGCCAATAACAAAAAAAAATTAAATACAAAGAAATTATTTTTATCTGTGCAAGATCACATTCCTGCTCTCCCCAAGGATTATTTCATAAATAATAAACTTTTACTAGACGTTTTATACAAGCTCATTGCAGAAATCACATAAGGAGAAGAAAGAAATTTCACTTATAACACAAAAGACTGGAAGTAACAAAATTTTATCCCATTTTATACATATTTTCAGCTAACACCAGACCAGTCAGTGTCCATGTATAGTCAAGTTGATCTTTTCTCACTAGATATACAAAAGTACACTGTCACATACCAACATCATATTGTATCTATTTCCCCCTTTGGTGTTTACCTATTATCCCATCCTATGGATGCACTGAAATTTAGCTACAAAATCTACTATATGGATTCTTATACATTGCTATTTTAAGGAGTGCTGAGAAAAACAAATTGTATGTGTCATTGATTACTTACTAAAGATATTTTAGTACAATGGTACAATGTATGTAAAGGACATACATATTTCTTTTTTTAAATGTGGTGCTGGCACCAAATTATCTATTTGGAAAGTTATGGACACCTTAAACTTGAAGCAGTAGTCCTAATGCCACTGCTCTCTATCCTCACAAACTCTGTGGAGAGAAAACAGTATTCTCTTCCTTTTAATTTAAATTCTTTCTCTAACCAGGAACACTAATTTCTTTTTCTATGTGCATACATTACTTGTAGAACTGCAAAAAAGCACTTTGCCCAATTTTAGATCTTTAGTCTTGCCAATTCCAAAGAATTCTCTGTAAAAATGTGTGTTTTCACCTGATATATATTGTGTACAAATATCACTGTAAGAATTTTTGCAATGATGTTGGCTTTTCTTTTGATAATTCTTTCTACACACAGGATGTTTTAATTTTTATCTTGCTAAAACAACTTTTGAAATGCTTTTCCATCAACCTTAGGAAGGTCTTTGTCATTGTAAAAATGTACCTGTATAAATAGGCATTTGTGTTTTCTTCTGGTACATTTCTCATTTTGTATGTTGAAAATTTTTAATCTATATTCCATCAAGAACTTATTTTTGTGATATAAAAATCTAGGTTTTCTCTAAACGTTAATAAGCATTTCATTTACAAATAATTCATCTTTTCCTACAAATATGAAATGTCATCATTAAAAGTTCTAAATTTTTACATATATCTAGGTGTTTCTGGATTTTCTATTCTGTTCCATTCACTTATTTTTTTTCTCTGTTAATAAATGATTAATTTGTGGGAGTGAATAATCTATTTTGATATCTAGAGGGGCATCTATTCACTTCATTACAAAAATTTTCTCATTGACCTCACAACTGTAACTCAAAAGTCTTAAAACTTTGGGTAAGTTCGCATTTTGAGAAATGCAAATCTTCCTACTTAAAAACATGAAACCATCTTCCCACTTCAGTTTCCTTACGAGGTCTGTCAGCAAAGAGTTTATATACATGCCGTAAATGGATATAAAATGGATACTGAATTTTATCTGAAGAAGTTGTAGCCCAGAAGTTGGGCCAAATTATTTCTCTCTTCATTCGTCTTTCTATAATAATTGTGTTTTGAAACGTGTACATTAAAAATAAAACATTGCAAGCCAGGTGTGGTGGCTCATGCCTGTAATCCTAGCACTCTGGAAGGCAGAGGCAGGTGGATCACTTGAACTCAGGAGTTCGAGACCAGCCTAAGCAAGCGCGAGACTCCATCTCTAAAAATAGCCCGGCGCTGTGGCAGGCACCTGTAGTCCCAGCTACTCAGGAGGCCGAGGCAAGAGGACCGCTGGAATCCAGGAGTTTGAAGTTGCTGTGAACTATCACGCCCCAGTACTCAACCCCAGGGAGACAAAGTGAGACTCTGTCTCAAATAAACAAAGAAACGAATAAATATTTAAAAAACAATCCAAAAAAACACAGCATATACTTAATTTTGTTAGTGATATCATTTTACAATTGTCAATAAAACCTCTAGAAGGGGAATGATGTGTGGATTGTAAACCTGCTTAAGTTTTGTTTTTGTGTTGCTGTTCAATAAGGGTGGACCTCTCCAAGGTTTCCCCGTCCCAGGTGCCTGGGGAGAGAGGAAAGGCCAGTCCCCTAGGGGACAGGAGGGAAGGCTGGCCCAGGAATGGGGGAAGACAGAAGGGAGGACTGGCCTACGAAGGGGGATACCCTGCACCCCACCTCCCACCTCCCACCTGGCCCAGTCACGGCCTGGCCTCCCCCTTCCTAGTACCTGTTCTTTTTGTCTGTATCATCCACACTATTTTTCCCAGACGAAAGGATCTCCTCCACTTTCCTTGCATCACCAGCAAAGGCAGCTTCATGGAGTTTTCTAAGATGTTTTTTGTGGACGCAGTAATGGGGACTCGAGAAGACACAGGGACTCGAGTCTCCCGGGTACTCCTGGGCCTTCTTGTTCCCCAACCCCCAAATCTTCTTCACTGCAGAAGCCATCGTATGGCATCGCCTCCTGGCTTTCCACCACCTCCTCGCTTTTCCTGACTTTGAGGTCAATACAGTGAACAACTTCACCCGAGGCTCACGGTTCCGACCTCAGACCAAGGCCAAGAAAGCCGTTGAGCACAAGCGCGCTTGCGCACAGCAGGACGCGTCCCAGCACTTGTACACAGGCGGCGGAGGGCAGAGACTGTTGGACACTCTCACCGGAGCACCCACGGTGAGAACGCTGTAGCTGCAGCTCACGCGCCAGCAGCCCAACCCGGCTCTCCCTGCAACGCCTCAGGGTCGCCAAGGGTGCTGACTTCAGCCGGAGGGCTGCGCTGACGGTGCCAACCAGCAAGTTCTCTTCAGTGGAGTAGGGAGGGCTGCGGCTGCAGGGGCTTAACCCTCAGGGGCTATGTTGAATTGTGCTGTGATCAACATTCAAGTGCAGGAGTCTTTTTTATAAAATGACTTCTTTTCCTTTGGGTAGATACCCAGCAGTGTGGGATTGCTGGAGCCAAGGTAGGTCTACATTTCTTTGAGGAATCTCCACACTGTTTTCCTTAGAGGTTTTACTGATTTGCAGTCTTACTAACAGTATATAAGCATTCCTTTCTCTTTGCATACATGCTAGAATCTATTGTTTTTTGACTTTTTAATAGCGGGCATTCTGACAGAGGTGTGGTGTAAGTGAGAGCTAAACAATGGGTACACATGGGCATTGGCAACTAAGAAGGGGGGAGGGTAGGAGAATGAGGGATAAAAGCTTAACTTGTGATCGCTGTAAGGCCTACAGATATATGAAAAAATGCTCACCATCCTTAATCATCAGAGAAATGCAAATCAAAACTACTTTGAGATATCATCTAACTCCAGTGAGATTAGCCCATATCACAAAATCCCAAAACCAGAGATGCTGGCGTGGATGTGGAGAAAAGGGAACACTCCTACACTGCTGCTGGGAATGTAAACTAATAAGTTCCTTTTGGAAAGACATCTGGAGAACACTCAGAGAACTAAAAATAGACCTGCCATTTGACCCTGCAATTCCTTTGTTGGGTATATTCCCAGATGACCAAAAATCACATTACAACAAAGATATTTGTATCAGAATGTTTATTGCAGCCCAATTCATAATTGCCAGGTCATGGAAGAAGCCCAAGTGCCCATCAATCCACCAATGGATCAACAAACTGTGGTATATGTACACCATGGAATACTATGCAGCCATTAAGAAGGATGGAGACTTTACATCCTTCATGTTCACATGGATGGAGCTGGAGAATGTTCTTCTGAGCAAAGTTTCACAAGAATGGAGGAAAAAGTATCCAATGTACACACCCCTATTATGAAACTAATTTATACCTTTTATATAAAAGTTATAACCAAATAGCCTAAGAATATGGGGAGGGGGAGGGAGAAGGGAGGGGGGAATGGGTGGAGGGAGGGGGATTGGAGGGATCACTTCTGAGGTTTATCTTACAGGGGTACAAGTGAATCTTTCTAAGAGTAGAATGTGAATGTTTTAAAACAATAACTGAGAAAATGACATGAAGGCTGTGTCGACCAGTTGATGGAAATATTTCAGATTGCATGTGAAAACCCCACACTGTACCCCAGAAGTGCATTAATGTACATAGTTACCATTCAATTAAAAAAAAAAAAAAGCTTAACTTGTTGGGTACAATGAGCACATTCTGGTGATGGGACTACCAAATGTTCTGACTTTAACATTATACCAGGCATACACAGAAGAAAAACATTTGTACCCCCTTAAATTTTTGAAACTTAAGAAGTCAAAATATTAAATTTTTTTTATCTATGTGAGTTAAATAAATCAATAAAAAGATTAGCTACATGGCAATATCTTATTTCTGACTTTTTGAAAAAATTACTATAAAGTCACAGGCCACTGCACTAGCAATGTTACTTAGGCCTATTTGCTAAGCCTCAGCTAGAACCATAAAAGCCTCCTATTTTCAGTTGATGGGACACCTGGCAGAGAATGGGGCAGGAAAGGAGGCATGGACGAGCACCAGCATTGTCACAGAAGACAAGGAGAAAATGAGGAGCAGCCACATATTGGAGGGTACTGAGGGACATAATGACCAACTGCAATGTGGGATCCTGGACTAGCAAAACTGGAACACTCAAAGTAGTTTGTGGCCTTCCTGATAGCATCCCTCCTGTAGATCTCTCCAACTTATTCCAGGGGAACTGTGGTTAGTAACTATGTATCTCACACTTAAAATTGCTGATAGTAGATTTTATGTATCTTCTCCACACAACTTGTGTGAAGTAGTGGATGTTTAAATAGCTAAACTTGGCAATACCACAACATGTACAGATATCAACACATCAAGTTGTACAGTGTGAATATGCAATAGTAAGATTGGCCATATGGGGAGCATTTCATGTGACAAAAACTGTCATCCACAGACATTTTTTTTTCATTTAACTCTCACACAAACCAAATTAATTTGGTGTTGTAGTAAACTCACTGCCTCAGAGGGAGCCTTAGAAAAATTAAGATGCTTTCCCAAGTGTCGTATATAGGCTGTAGGATTTAAAAACAGACCTGTGTGTATTCACTATTAAATTAGAACTAACTGAAGAGCACAAATGTGCTTAGAGCAGTAGTTCTCAACCTGTGGGTTGCGACCCCTTTGTAAGAATGAAAATACATCCTGCATATCAGATATTTACATTATGATTCATAACAGTAGCAAAATTACAGTTATGAAGTAGCAATGAAAATAATTTTATGGTTGGTGTCACGACCACATAAATGATAGTGCAAGACATGGATTGACAGTACACGCTGCAAGAGGTGAGGCTAACCATAGGTGCAGGATAGCACTGAGCACTTCTCACAGAGTCCTTTATTAAGAAGATACATAATGGGCAGAAAGATTACTAAGCAAAGACATGCAGGGGCTGCGTGCTCGGGGAAATGATTTCATAGGTGCCAGAGGGTATGTACTCAAGGAAATGATCTTCAAGGGTGGTAAGGGAAATGATCTCCAAAATACTATTTGCAATATTTCTCCACTAATCCTTCAAGGAACTGCCATAAAAGGCTTAATGTTTAACATTAGCCTTACTACTACAAGACTGAACTTTGCTCCTCCAGGATTATTGAGTTACTTAGTGGCTTGCCTTCCAAGTCACAACAGATTTCTACGCTTGCCAGGAGAATGTCTTGTTCTCAGTAATTCCTCAGATGAGTTATGATATTGATGGCTGTTGTAGTAAGTATGATGTTTAATCCTCTATAGGTTGGGGGTCACCACAATATGAGGAACTATATTAAAGGGTCGTGGCATTAGGAGGCATTAGGAAGATTGAGAACCACTGACTTAGAGGTAGTAAAACTTGATGGAAATCAAGGGGGTAGGGTAGGAGGGGATGAACAAAAACCTACCTAACAGACAGAGTGAACACTAGCTGCATGGTGGGCACACTTATGACCATGACTCAGGCAAAAGTGATCCACATAACCAAAAATATTTGCACCTCCATAATATTTTAAAATAATAACCAGAAATAATTAATGCAAAATATGGGTCACCATACTGAAACAGCTCATCAGGTTCTTACTACAATGAATAAAAATAGACTTGAATGTTCTTGACCTCTTTCTCCAAAAGACAATAAAGACATTGCTTTGCCTCTTTGGTTTTTTTTTTTTTTTTTTTTTTT